CCTACTCTGGGGCGGTAAATCGCCTTAAATCGCTGCGATATAATGCGATTTTAGGCGATTTAAGCAAAAACTGGGACTTTCAAGCACTGCGATTTAGTGCGATTTAGTGCGATTTTAGGCGATTTAAGAAAAAAATTTTAATTTTAGGGATTGCAATTTAGGTGTTTTCAAAGGAATTGAATTCTATATTTTGCTCCGGTGGGTTAGGCAGGGTGGGTTAGGATAAACACAGTTAGGAAAGTAATATCATATCCTCATTGTTGTAAAGATAAATAGTCTAGGCTAACATACGTAATCATAGTACTTGATGTAATCGATCACTGAAAAGCCCCAATGTGGGGAGTGAGCTGAATAATAATGTAATGTTTCCACACACATATGCATTGTATGAAGCAAAATACAATTATTAGAACATGTATGTACATTTTATATAAAGCTAGGTCAACTATTGTATTTAACCTGATTCACATATAAAGCTCAATATTCATAAACTTTTCACCCATTCTCTATTTAGAAGCCATTGGGGTTCATCTTGGGGGTCATAGCAGGGTGTTAGCTGGCCCATATGCTGTCCGTTTGACGGACTCTTCCCAATTGAGGGCTTTCCCAACTGGGTCTACTGGAAAATTAGCATGTGTCCCCCAAAATTTTAACGGTCGGGCAAAAATCAATGCGAAATTGGTCAAAACCTAAAAATTTCAATATTCTGTGAAAAATTTTTCGGATTCGGCGGAAATTACAGAATATTTCTTTGATATCTCCTGAAAATTTTTTTTGGTGACCCCCCCCCCTCGCCAAGAATTTTGGGAAAAATATTCAGCTAAGTCCAGTTAAAACTTTCCCAATTTACGTTTAACGGACAAAACTCTACTTAAGGGGCATGCACTACACATATCGAGTTAAAATTGCAAAATATAATAAATATTTGATTTCAAAAAAAATCACAAGGGGTAGGGGGTAGAAACACACAATGTATTTATACAGTATAACTGAATAGGCTATAATCCCATAATTTACCTTGTCACCCTTGTAAGTGAAATTGTCTTGTTTTGTATCATGTCAAAACTTCTTTATTTAGCTTGCATTTTATTAAACTGTTTCAATCTCGTGCTTTCTTCATGCTACAAACATATTTATAATTTTTTTGATATCTACATCATATGATATCCCAGTGCCATATCCAGAAACAGTGTCGTCACGCATTCGGAAACTGTCGGAGTAATGCCGTAATGTTTAAATTACATGAAGTATATCGTATATAAATTGTAGGAATTCTAAATTATTTTAAAATTAAAACCAAAATAGTACAGTGTTAATTGTTAAACAAATGGCGCACTACATCGTGGTTTTAGGTTCTGCAAACAAACAACACCAAAAGATCTATTGTATGGTATGTAAGATGTAATCATTGTTTTACTGTTTATTGTATATACAGGTCTGTAAAAAAATTTAATAGACGAGAGTTGCAAATCGCTCATGACCTCACGTATATTTTTCGCTTGATAGCCACTATAATTATAACTAGGAGCTAGAGTATAACCATGCACATGTCGAAGTACAACCATTGTATACAATGCAGTGCTCGATCTTACATGCAACAGTGCACAAATTACGCGATGACTTTATTATATAAATCAACACTCGTACTCATTGACTTTCGTAGTTTCCTACTGTTGTTCTGATCAAAGCCTGGTTCACATATGTCTGCGATGTGTCGGCGGGCTATTGTCTTAGCAGTTCAACCAAATAATTCACAAAAGAATGCATCAACAGCTGTAAACAATGACGTCGCAGGCATATTGCAGACATGTGAACCAGGCTTAACAGCAATATAGCTAGATTATAGATTAATTTGTAGCCCAGCCTCCATAGTCCATATAAATGTAGCCCAGCCTCCATTTACACCAATAATGAAATTAGCTCATTCTGGTAACTAGCTCAATTTTGTTGCTTGCAGTGTATCGGATCTATGGGTCTTTCAAATCCCAGAATTACCTAATTATTGTAAAGTCTGCATAAAGCAGAAAAGGCTCTGTTTTTGTCAATGACCGGTGCCTATTGAGTGACCAAATATTGTCAGCCTAATCCACTTATTTGATTGCTAATTCATGTTGCATTACTTTCATTGCAAAGCACCTGGATTACATGATTTGCCCGTAAATAGCAGCAATTGATAAACTTGAGTACATGGACTGAATGTATCAAGCAGAATGCATGTTGGCGATTTTAAGCGATCTTAGGCAATTTTAGGCGATTTAGGAGAAATTCGACAATTTTGACCCGCGATTTAGTACGATTTTAGGCGATTTAGGGCGATTTAAGGCGATTTACCGCCCCAGAGTAGGCCTATACGGAGCTGTTGTCTATTTGAGATGTACATACGAGGATGGCACTCGCTCTAGCAGATTAATCGCCTCTAAGAGTAAGGTAGCACCGTTGCTACCAATGACGGTACCTAGACTAGAATTAATGGCTGCAGTTCTCGGCCTACGACTTACGCAGAATGTTCTTCGGGCGTTTGAAATGAGCACGCAGGATGTTAGCTGATCTATTCTGACAGTGCTGACGTTCTGTGGTGGATTCGTGGCTATGGGAGAGACTTTCGACCGTTTATAGCTAACCGAATTGGAGAGATACAAATGTATAGCAATTCTGCACAGTGGCAGCACGTTCCCACTGCTAAAAATCCTGCGGACCTGTGCACGCGATGTGCAACACCGTTGCAATTGTCCGAGTCTACGTTGTGGTGGAATGGTCCAGTATGGTTGGTATAGGATACTTCGCAGTGGCCTCAAATGGATTTGACGAAATCTCCAGTTAATCTTCCGGAAACGAAAGATGCCCACAAGAAGGATAGAAAAGGAAATGCAGTGGTTTCCGATGGTAGT